AGGAATGTGACGCGAGCCACAGACGTGAACCTCTTCTAGTAGAGAATAGCTGACTATACATGGATATATAACTATGGACTTCACCTTCTTTACAAGATACTGTATTTAACATACCTAAAATATTGTCAGTGCAACATACAACGAACAGAATACTTTAATGGGCTGCTTTATGTTCTGGGGGCAGGTGGGTAGTGGGGCTTTGAAGGCCACCGTGTGCTCGGCACTTCCGCCAAGTCTCAGTTTGGACTAGCCACATGCCGAGTACTCGACAGACACCAGTGGCCACAGCATGCCATCCCTGCTCGGCTGGGCTTCCGGAAAGGAGCTCACGCTGTGACGACTGCACCCACCAGAGCACTTAGCAGACCCTGAAACAGCCACCCCACCATCATCTCCGCGACCCACGCACTCTATAATCCACCACTCAGCTCGAAAGTGCGGTCGTTGTCTGGTTTTGTTTTTAAAAGGTAAATGAAGATTTACCCCATAATCTCAGCTATTTAGTTACACAGCCAAGGAGAAGCAGAGTGACCTCCAATTCGGTAAAATATCAGAATTACAAAGCTCATCTCCAGGTGAAGTGTCCAACAGGCCCACCTCAGCCCGCACCGCTCCAGCCCTGATTATAAGTGGACTTCCGGGGCTCCCACAGTGCAGTGGTAAGGGCTGTGCAGTGGGAGCTAGAGCCCACGTGGCTGATGCAGTTTGACCCAGATCTGGTATCTTAAAAAACATGCTGGGCATGTGTGCCCCAAGTCCTGATGGGATGGGAATGCAGGGGACAGGACTGTGGCATGGCCTTGCCCCACAGGGAGGTCTCTCTCTCTCTCTTTAGCAAGCACTTGTGTCTTCTGGCAATACATTGATACAACTCCACATATGTATAAACAAAAGTCTTTAATTTTCATAAAAGAAAGTTAATAAAAACAAAAACCTTGCAGGCCACCTTGAGGCAGGTGGATCTCACATGGTCCACTATGCAGTTCAAGTCCCAGACTCAGTAGCTTAAAAACAAAAACAAAAGTAAAACCAAACCAAAACAAAACACTTCCTATTTACCTCTCTTCAAAGTGACTTCACATAAACATCTGGAAGATGAAGGCTGAACTCACCTTATTCTCTTCCAGAAACTTCAGCTTGATGGAAACGTCGCTGCGCATCTTGTCGTACTTCTCCTTGTGCACTTGGAACAGCTGCTGCGACTGCTCAATCTTGGGCAGGGTGCTGGCGTCGCGCGGCCCGAGGTTCAGCTCTTCCAAGTCCGTGCGGTAGGCGTCATACTCAATCCTACAGAGAGGGCGAGGGGAGCAGGCTGTGACACGCGGGGACGCTTGCGGGGGACAGGCTGGAGAGACGTGATACTCTCAGACTGTGCGGTGACACACATGCTCATACATACTTACACTTGATGCTCTGGAAATCACTTCTTTAAAAAGAAAAAGCTATTCATGTAAGAACGGGGGAAGGCTGTTTCTTAACCTTGTAACGATTCCTCCCAAACTTCAGTATTAACTGACAAGTAAAATTGCCGAAATTTAAAAGTCAGTTTAAAACATCAGAAGTCAAAATTAGCACGTTGGGTCGGGGGTGAGGATCAGCCACCCAGAGGAGCTGTGGCGAGGCAGGCGAGAGCCAGGGGGGGGGGAGCCTAAGACGTGAACCTCTTCTAGTAGAGAATAGCTGACTATACATGGATATATAACTATGGACTTCACCTTCTTTACAAGATACTGTATTTAACATACCTAAAATATTGTCAGTGCAACATACAACGAACAGAATACTTTAATGGGCTGCTTTATGTTCTGGGGGCAGGTGGGTAGTGGGGCTTTGAAGGCCACCGTGTGCTCGGCACTTCCGCCAAGTCTCAGTTTGGACTAGCCACATGCCGAGTACTCGACAGACACCAGTGGCCACAGCATGCCATCCCTGCTCGGCTGGGCTTCCGGAAAGGAGCTCACGCTGTGACGACTGCACCCACCAGAGCACTTAGCAGACCCTGAAACAGCCACCCCACCATCATCTCCGCGACCCACGCACTCTATAATCCACCACTCAGCTCGAAAGTGCGGTCGTTGTCTGGTTTTGTTTTTAAAAGTGAAATGAAGATTTACCCCATAATCTCAGCTATTTAGTTACACAGCCAAGGAGAAGCAGAGTGACCTCCAATTCGGTAAAATATCAGAATTACAAAGCTTATGCCCCAAGACTCATGGTTTTTACTCAGATATCCATAGTGGGATTCACGTGTGTTCTGGGAACTAAGAATACTTTAAATAACAAGCTACATTGTACATATGACTTGGAAAAAACTCAGTTCCTCACAGAGTCTATTATAGTTTAACTTGTACTGATTTAACAAACTTGCCCCTTCAGGGTCAAAGAAGCAGCATCCCTCCGTTCACTGATACACTGACTCGTTCGGCAGCTACCCAGCGAGGCCAGCACTTCCACGCTGCAGGCGCTGCTCTGGAAAGCAGAGTTAAGGTGAACAGACCAGTTATCCTCAGAAAGGCTGCCGTCTAGAGGGGGAGACGCTCGTCCGTGATTACACCCAAATGAGAGGACGGAGGCCACCACAAAGGAGAGGAGGGTGCTCAGAAAAGCAATGGGAGAACCACCTAATTCGTTCTGCTTTCTGAAAAAGCATCTCAGAACAGAATCGAAGCACGGTCACTAAAATCTGAAGGATGGTTAAGAAGAAAAAGCTTACTGGGTGGACTGGGGCAGGGAAATTGGTAGTACATTCCAGAAGGACAATAGCACAGACCAGGGCATGAATGTATAGGATACCATGACACATCTGGGGCTAACTCCATATGTTAGGACCTGAGGTTGGAGCGCAGCAGGAAGGAAGCAGAGCAGACGGGCGAGCAGGACTGCAGGCCAGCACCCTCGAGGCTGGGGGAGAGGGTACGGATGCACTACAGTCGGGAAGCATGGCGGGTGGGCAGGACTGCAGGCCAGCACCCTCGAGGCTGGGGGAGAGGGTTCGGATGTACTACAGTCGGGAAGCACAGCGGGTGGGGAGCCACTAAAGCTCAGATCTGACATGAAATTGACATGACCCTATCATCCAGGACAGAGAGGTGACTGCAGAGGTGATGGAAGCAGAGGAGGAAGACGTGGGTGCGAAGGTCAAGAACTCAGAAGCAAGGAAACACAACTGAAGAGCGTGAACAGACGAGACGAGTCGCCCAGCAGAATGAATGCAGCGTAGGTGCGATGGCAGGCATAAAAGATTCAGGCCCGGGCAGTGCTACGGTAGCGAAGCCCACCGTCCAGAAGCCAGGTGGGATGAGCACTGGCCTTGCCGGCTCTAACACCTTGTGTTACCTCACCTCTCCGTGCTCGAGTTTCCCTCCTGTAAACGACGTAACAATCGCCACACAAACAAGGAAGACTTAGGCCACCTGGTCACAGCTGAGACCTTCACAGTGCTTATTACTGTGGCCAGACCAGAAGAGGGATAGCTAGACACAAGCATTAAAAACGGGGAGGGGCCAGCTAGTGGCATGGTGGTTAAGGCAGATGGATCCCACAGAGCCGACTGGATGCCACACAGTCTGAGTCCCGGCCCCAGTGGCTTGAACAACATGCCGGGTGCTTGTGCATATGTGTGCGTGCCCAAAATCTAGAGAGGAAGATGGAGGCAAAGGGACTGTAGCATGACCACCTCGCTCGAAAGTTAAAAAACAAAAAGAAACAAACAAACAAAAGAGAAAAAAATAGAGCTAAAGTAAATAGCAATGTGTGATTTAATGAAAGCATCCTTCGACAGCGCTGGGGTACATTTCTAAACAGTGATCCGTGTGAACATGAAGTGTGGTCCCGACAGACGGCATCACAGTAAACGCCCCACGCGGCTCTCCAGCGGTGCTCGCCACCGTGGGGCGGAAGTGCCGAGTGTTCAAAGTGCACTCCTTCGCCAGGGTGGCCGCCTGAGCGGAGTCCGTGTGGACAGACAGTGAGGGTTACGTTCTGGCTGTGAGAAACGTCTGGACGACAGGTGTCCACATCTGAAGCCCTGACCACACTGCCTCCCCTGTCGGGGCTGTGGAGCGGCGCCGAACGGGCCGCTGTGAGACTGGGTCTGTGAAGCACCGGAGGGCGAGGAAATACTTGGACACAATGCATAAGAGGGAGCATGGAAAGGCCACCCGGGCATCTGCCTAAATGACCACTTTTTTGCACTGATCAAATAGATGACCCTTGCCCTGAAAGTCAGTAAATCCTGCTTTTGACAGAGAAGAAGATTCAGCTACTGAGAAACTTTAAATCTGAGGTTCTTTGTGAATGTTACCCGTCACGGGCAACGCTTCAGTGTTACGACCACAGTTTCTCAGCCTCATTTCACAACCAACAGAGAAGCCAAACCCCAAGCTAAGCTTAATATAAGGGCATTTATTGTAATTCGGAAAAAAAAAAAGATAAAATATGGGGAGAGATCGTTGCTGTTGATTTTTTTTTTTTAAGAGAGGGGGTTTTTTTTGTTTTTTTGTTTTGTTTTGTTTTGTTTTTTTTTTGCTATAGGGCATGTGGCGCTCGCTGGAGAAAAATCACTCCCTGGGATGACAGCCACGTCTCAATCCCTTCTCCTCTCACAATCTTGGGCACCACACACATGTGCCTGGCGTTAAATTTTAAGCTGCTGGGTCCAGGACTCGAACCGTGGTCGACTACATGGGAGTTCAGCACTGCAACCATTATGCCATCTGCTGGTCCCCATTGCTGATGATTTTTAAAGAGATTGTTTCCTTGAAGTAACCAGTTCCTAAGCACACATAATTTATCATGTTATTCAAAAATTCTAATCAAATCTATAAATTACATAAATCGACATCTTATACCTCACTGTACTTTAGGTTAGGTTTTTCATTATGAGGTATGAATCTTATTTCTCAAAATGAGCTGTAAAAATTTGAGACTAGTCTAGTTTAGGTTTAAGCTCTATTGGCCAAGAGTAAAATGGTAAAAGACAATGCCTCTTGCTCTGAAACTGGTCACAGTGAGCCAACCACCGAGCCTTTGAAGTCTTCATTCTTCCTTCTTTCAAACTGAACAGAAACATCCGCATTAAATTAAATGTAAAATGTTGTACTAGGAACAGTAACTTATCCAATACATTCACCTCCGACATGGGTCAACACCTTGAAGAGCATGCTAGAGTAAAGGCTAGGAAGCACAGAAGCTAAGTAACTGAGGCGGGTCTCAGGACAGGCAATTACGAAGCACAGAGACAGCAGATCTAAGTGGTTCTTCTCTGGAAGCGGGTAGGAGTAGTTTTGGGACAAAAGCATTGTGGTCTTCAAAATCCACCAATATTAAATGATCAGAAAGACTAGGGATAAGATTGCTGAAAATGATTAAGGAGGTGAAATGAAGACACAGTTATGTATGAATGGCTTAGGACAGCGTTAATAAAGCACAAACTTAGAGAGAACCAAATAAAATTTATATAAATAAAAACTTTCATTCATATACATGATGAATCTTTTGGAAAAAAACAGACTATGTCCACAAAAGGATTTAAATAGAGACTGGAAAACCAATCACTAGAAGTGTCACTGAAAGGGTTCCTACTGAGGGATGGGTTTTGCCATAGGGTGCATGTGCTCACCAGAGAGAGAGAGACAGAGAGGGGAAAGTGAGAAATCACCTCCGAAGGGAGATGGCCAGGCTACAATCCCTTCTCCTCCATCCTCCTCTCAGGATTTTGGGCACACGCATACACGCACCCATTGTAATCCCAGGGTAATTTTCAAGCCGCTGTCCAGGACTCAAACTGTGGTTGGTCGTGTGGGAATCCAGCACCTTAACCACTACGCCACCTCCTGGCCCCTTGAAGGCTATCTTAGTGATAAGAGCCCTTCAATGTTACTGAAGAACACCCTATGCCTAGATTCCTTTCTACTTTCTTCTTCGTCCTCTTTTTTTTTTTTTTTGGAGAGTTTTTTGCTATTAGCATGTGTGCTCGCCGGAAAGACAGAGAGAGACACAGAGTGAGAAATCACCCCCCAGGGGGATGGCCACACCGCAGTCCTTTCTCCTCCATTCTCCTCTTGGGATCTTGGGCACGCACGCACACTCACACGTGCCCGGCGTGAGTTTAAACCACCGGGTCAGGGACTCGACCCACGGTTGACTGCATGGAAGTCCAGTGACATAGCCATTACGCTAACTGCTGGTCCCTCTACTTTCTTATTTTTGAGCCATGTAAGCAAATATTTCAAACAATAAAAGAAAGGAAAAAATCAAGACCTAAACAGAAATAAACCTTAAAATCCTATCCCTGCCTATCCCATCAGATAACTACCTGGATCTTCATTTCTGAGTCAATTAAGAACCTCACATATTAATATTAAACTGAAATTTATAAGTATAGCATGAGACAAATATTCCTTCCTGTAAAAAGGTCAAAAGTTAACCTTTCCAAGTGATGCAAGCGTTTCCTTATTTAAGGGAGAAGGAAATATCGAGATGTACTTAAGTACTCGAACGCAAAGAGACTAGATTAGAGTGCGGAGTTGTTGCAGGCGTTTCTCACTCAACTTGGGAAGTGGTCAGAAAGTGAAGTTATGCTTCGAAAAGGAAGTCTACACTTACTCTTTAAGAATTATTTAATTTTATTCATCATCATTTTTTAGTTTGCTACAGAGCTCACGTACGAGAGAGAGAGATGGAGACGGAGAGAGAAAGCGAGCCATTCGGGACTCAAACTGTGGACGGCCACGTGGGCGTCCGGCATCTTCACCACCACGCTACCTGCTGGCTCCTAGTCTACACCCATCTTTAACCGCACTGTACAAAGTAGATCAGAAAATAAAAATTGCTCATGTTCAGAGGAAGAAAAAACTCAAAGGGGGCTGGAATGATACTTAAATAAAACTGGCAGGAAGTGTGGAAAAGAAATTGGGTCTAAAATCAAAAGTTAAAAAATGCTATTATGGATGTGTTATTTTTTAGACATTTATAAGTATCTATTAATATGTATTTTATTTACCTAACATGATAGCTGTCAGATAGGAAAATTTTATACACACACACACACACACACACACACACAAACACATACACACACACATACATACATACATACATACATATGAAACAGATTACGTGAAAACACTGCATTATAAACAGCTGTCAAAACATAAGGTCAACAGGCCTAGCAGTGAAGAGAGCTGGATCCCACATGGCTGGCCATGGGGTTCGAACCCTGGTCCCAGAGGCTTGAAAAACACTCTAGGCAAATATGTGTACATACACAAAACCCTGACAGGATAGAGGTGGAAGACAGGAGACTGGCATGACCAGGCCCACCGAGGAGTGCTCCCCTACCCAACTCTCTCTGGCTAGTGCATGCACCTTGTGGCAATTAAAAAAAATAGATTAAACACTAAAACAACAACAACGAAAAGGTAAATATTTAATTTATGTATAATTAAAATCTGAAAGCATTTGAAGGCTGGTTATAATCCGGATAAATGAAAGATCATAAATAAAACTACAGAGGTCGACATGAGCTTGTGTGGTCAGGAGAAGCTGAAATGCCAGGCCAGGCTGCTGTGGGAGCAGGGTAACTTGCACCGGGACGGTAACAGGCCGCATGGGAGCAGGGTAACCACCGGGACAGTAACAGGCCGCATCAGCGACCACATGGCATCTGCCTGGTTGGGCACAGGACCCTGTCTTCGTCCACAGAAGCTGGAGCTCCAGCCCCTCAGCTCTAGAGGCAGGATTTGTGCTCATGACCGCACCTCGCGTTCAGGACCCAGGCCTGACTGGACCCTCTCCAGGCAAGTCCTTGGGGCGCGTCTGCAGATTACGCACAGCAGCTAAGGAGCATGGAGGAGCAGGGCACCTGGCTCCAGTTCCAGGGCCCTAATTAGCCTCTTCGGAGGCTCGTTTGGCTCCGGTTCTTGTCCTCCTCCCTTTCTGTCAGTGCTGTGGGCTCGTCGATAGCCTTCCAGCACACTCTCCTGCTCTATGGGCCAGAGCGCGTTTCTGTTGTTGGCGACCGAAATCTTAGCAGAGCGACGTGCATCTGTAAAACAGCAGCGCAGTGAGGAGCGCACCTACCTGGCACTCTCGTACTGCTTCACGGTCACCAAGGTGTCCTCGATGGTCTTATTCACCAGCGTGTTCACACTGGCAATGAAAAAGTTAATGGCCCCAAGAAGAGTCTCTCCATTTTTAGCCAGCAGCTTCTGGGTATCTGCGTTATAGCCAAATTCTTCCTAGAACAAAGAAGTCACCTTAACTCATCCAGTCACAGATCAGTAAACGTGACTAAAAAACTCAAGCATATTCCTAAAGGGGAAACCTGGGATTTGAAGGCCAGCTACAGAAGTTTTACCTTTGCTTTCGATCTTTACATAAATGGGACTCTAAACTGCAGCTAGCTAGAGATACCAAAGAAGTCCAGTAAACAAAACTGCCACCAGTTCAGACGCACAGCTCAAATCTAAATAACTTTTAAATGTTAAACTACTTTGTAGCAGACAGGGTATTTTCATGTCTACATCTGTTTCTCTTACACTATAAGCACAGCTGCTAGGAAGAGAAATATAGCACGTCGTTAATCAGAGAAACTATAACCTTCACAACCAAATTAGGTAACAACTGGTTAAAACTTTCAGACATAGTATAGATTGTATTTTCTGTGCTTTGACTGAATCTCCTCTAAGTGTAAATATTAACAATATCCGTTTCTTTGTATGCTTTGGGGACCAGCCGACTCCTGAGCTCACACCTAGGCACACGACTCAAGAAGGCTCACTCGAGAGCAGATGTCACCATTCCCCGAACACACCTGGCATCCTGGCTCGGCAAATATCACTCGTGACTCTTTCAGACAGGGCGAGGACTAGCCCAAAATGTTTCTAAATGTAAGTGAAAGCTTTGCTGCCCAAGTTTGATTAGTTAACAAATTAATCTGAAAAACATCTGATCAAATTTTTTTAAAATGACCATATTGTATTATAAGATGTACCATTCAATTTGAGAATTCTGTGGTTTGTTACAAAATATTTTTAAATTTCAACTGAAAAAAAGAATGTAGTATTAAATGAACTAGAATTTTAGAGATACAAATGTAATGCTAGTGCTACAGCTGTAATTACATTTCTGGGTGATGAGGTAGTCAATAATTCAATAGCTAGTAAGAAAATAAAATTATCTTTATTATGCTAAAAGCATTTTCCATTTATGAGAAGTTGATGAAACTCAACTCTGGACTCGGACTTCGAAACCTTACAGAGGGGCTAGATGGTGGTGCAGGGGTATAATCTGATGCTCTGCGAGGCTATTCCACGTGGGAAGGTTGGGTCAAGCCTGGAGATCTTCCTGAGAATACCAGGCACAACTGTGTCTGTGCTGTGGGGCCAGTGCATGCACCTCGTAGCAATGAAAGAAAAAACCAGATTACTTCTCTCTCATGGGAGAAGTAAATAAATAAATATACACACTTTAAAAAAGTAAGGACCTTGAGTTTAAATACTGGAAGATCCTGGATTACATAAAAAGAATATCAAGGACCAGCAGTTGGCTTAATGGTTATGTCGCTGGACTCCCATGTGGTTTGAGTCCCGGACCTGGTGGCTTAAACTCACGCTGGGCATGTGTGCGTGCCCAAGATCCTGAGAGGAGAACGGAGGAGAAAGGACTGCGGCTTGGCCATCGCCCTGGGAGGTGATTTCTCGCTTTCTGTCTCTTTCTTTCTGGCAAGTGCACACACCCTATAGCAAAAAATCTCTCCAAAACAAACAAACAAAAAAAGAATGTCAAAAGTATATAAAAACTAAAATGAAAATGCAAAATAGCTGAAGAGTCTCGGCACAAGTTAAATTATACACTGATGTCTCAACAAAGTGACAAGAAAAATTTTTATGACTTTTAGAAAAAATACATTACAACCGTACTTAACAACTTTGATATTCATTAAGAGGTGAATGATTAGGAATGAAAAATACAAAAAAACATAAAACATAGATTTATATAAACAGTTCATAAAAATGTAAGGAAACCTTACATTTGCTATATACTTACTGTAGCAAAGTATGTGTCGTTCTACCAGGTCCCTGTAACACTGTGCTCATTTGTATAATCTCCCAATATCCACAACTCCACATTAACTTTGAGAATGCCAAAAATCCTAATTTAACCACAGGGACAGCTATGTAAGCTAGAAGGCTGTTTATTTTTCTTATTTTTAATTTAAAAAAAAAAAAGCAAGCCAGTGGCCTGGTGGTTAAGGCTGCTGGATCCCACATAACCAACTGCACAGTTCAGGTCCCAGACCCAGCAGTTTGAAAAACACACCAGTTGTGTAGGCATGTGTATATCATCTGCTTAGAGAAGAATGGAGGAGATGAGATTTTGGTGTTGCCATCCCCCAGGAGGTGCTTTCTCACTTTCCCTCTCTTTCTGGCACATGCCCTATAGCAAATAAACAAACAAAAACAAACTACAGAGTGAAGTTAAATAAAATAGCAACAACCTGAAAAGCTGCATAGCAGATTTTGGAATCCAAAATGTACATACTAAGAACAAGAGGCCTGAAGAACAGAAAAGACGAACAGGCAAGGACGACAGGAAGAATAAGCTAATCCTGTTCTGCCTCATGTAAATTTCAAGTATAATTCTGAGAAGAAAACGTGTGGAACTGAAGTTTTTAATTTTTAAAAGAATTTGCCAGAAGCACGTGCACCCACTAGACAGAGAGAGGGAAAAGAGGAAGCATCCTCTCCTCAATGAGGAATGGTCACGCTGTAATCCATTTCTCCCTTTTCTCCGGATTTTGCACACATGCTCCGCAGGTTTCTCAAACAGCCAGATCTGGGACTTGAACTTCACAGTTGGCCATGTGGGGTCCAGCTCACATAACCACTGGGCCATAGGCTAGCCCTTGAGATTTAATGTATAGGGGCCAGTAGATGGTGTAATGGCCATGTGGCTGAACACCCACATGGCCAACTGCAGTTCAAGTCCTGGACGGCTTGAAATTCACACTGGGCCATGTGCGTGTGTGCCCAAAATCCCAAGAGGACAATGGAGAAGGGATTGCTGTGTGGCCATCCCTCCTGGGGAGTAATTTCTCACTTTCTGTCTCTCTGGTGAGCGCACGGGTCTGACAGCAAAAACAAAAACAAAAACCAACAACAAAAAACCTCTCTTAACAACAAAAAAATTAATGTATACTTTAAAAATTCAATTGGCTAGAATAAAGTTTTTTAAATAGCAGGCACTAGAGAGCATTAAAAGATTTAAGCAGGTGGTGTGGTGGCTAAGGATGCTGGATTCTCACATTACTAATTGCAGTTCGAGTCCCGGACCAGGCAGCTTGCCTTCTCACATTCCCTCTCTCTCTCGCTCTCTCTAACCCTAACACACACACACTCTCTCTCTCTCTCTATGTCCCTCTGTGGTCAAATCAAAATAAAATTAAGTGAAATAAAATAATTCTTTTAAAAAAATTTAAGAGTGACCAGCAGCAGTTAGTGCAATGGCTATGTTGCTTGATTCTCCATGTAGTCGACTGCGGTTCGAGTCCCGGACCCAGTGGCTTAAACTCATGCCAGGCACATGTGCGTGCGTGCCCAAGATCCCGAGAAGAGAATGGAGGAGAAGGGACTGCGGCGTGGCCATCCCCCCTGGAGAGTGATTTCTTGCTTTCTGTCTCTTTCTGTCTTTCTGGTGAGCGCACACGCCCTATAGCAAAACCCTCTCCAAAATAAAAAAGATTTAAGATAATTAGGAAACTAAAGAGAAAGAAATCTCTATATATTTATCTGCATTAAAAGAAAATACAATATAACTGAGATGACGTGGCGAAACAGAACTGGGTGCCAAAAGGCGTGTGATAAAATGGTAAATGTCCCCTTTGGGGACTGACACATCTGAGTTCACATCTTTATTCTGCCGCTGGCTGGACCGATGCGCTTCATGAAGAACTCAGATATTTCGCGTCTCTGTTTCCTTACAAATACCAGGAAGCTAGACGGACGTTACGGAGACGAGCCCTATGAGGGGTCCGACGGATGACGGCGGTCAGTACAAGAGCGATTCCTATCCCTTCAGGAGAGCGCACTTTCTTACTGCTGGGCACGGCGGTTTCCCTTTAAAGTCCTCAATCCCCCAATGCCACAACCCTGAAAACAATTCCCACAACCACTGCGTTCATACGGTGCCACCCTGTGCGAAGAACTGCCCGTGGAGCTCAGCCGGCCTGGCGGGAGGCAGAAACCCCTGGCTGCACTTCGCCGACCTCAGCTCCAGGAGAAGTCAGGCTTGGGAACTTCAGAAGAGCCCACTGCACGGTGGGAAGGGGCCAGGAGGAGGGACCCTAGCAGGCGTGGAGGAAAGGAGGCTGGGCTGGCTGTGGCCTCGGACTGCCCGGAGGTTAGCTGATGCGGGGTGACCCAGAGCAAGATGGCTGGAGTTCCAGTCCTACACCTCACGAGCTACGGGCCTTCGGGTCAGCTCCCGTGACACTCCATAGACAGGAAAAATTGCCATCGACATTTGGGTTCCTGGACCATTTCTGGTTTTGAATTTTTAAGCAATTTTATCATTCATGGAACAATAAAAAGTGAGAAAGAATTTTTTAAAGGAATTTTAATATGAATTTAAACATAAAAACTCAATCTTGTATTCCGTATCTTTAGGGCTTTGAAGATGTATGTGCCTAAAATAGGCAGCGCAGGCCTTGTCTCCACCATCATGTGAGAACCAGAACAGAGCAAAGGATTCGACAGGACTTTCTCCAAAGAAGACATACAAGGGCCAATTAGCACCCGTAAAGATGCACGCCATCATCGACCACTAGGGAAACGTAAATCGCAGTTACAATGATGGATTACTTCACATCCACAGGAAGGCTCTAATTTAAAAACAAGACACCACAGCCCAGCTGAGAGCACGGCCTGGAGGTGCGGGTCTGAAGGTGCTGCAGGTCACGAGTGGACTGAGGTTCAGAGGCGCCGGGCACTAGAGGGCTGCGGGAGGGACATCCTGGCATGACGGGGACCTCGGGGACTGCCTGTACCTCTCTCTTCCTCTCTCTCGGGTGCGGACTCACGGGAGGAAAGACAAGACAGTAGCACGTGTAGTCCAGGACGTGGAGAGACTGGAACCCTCGTGCATTGCCGCTGGGAATGTAAACGGGGCAGCCCTTCGTTAGTCTGCAAGGACCTCACAATGGAATACACAGAGCTGCCATCTGACCGGCAGTACACTCTTAGAGCAAACCCAAGACAAAACAAAAACTCACACAAAAACTCGGACATCAATGGTTGTAGCAAAAGGTGGAAACAGACCAAATTCCATCAACTAACAAATGGATGAACAACAGGGGCATAACCTACAATGGAATATCGTGCCACTGTGAAAAGAGGTTCTGATACACGTTACAACACAGACGACCCCCAGTAAAAGCAGCCAGGCACGAAGGCCATAAAGACAATACCACTGATGCTGACTGACGCGTGCAGGACAGCAGTGGCCGCCGGGAGCCGGGGAGAGGAGGGTGGGTTAGGGTTTCTTTCTGGGATGACGACCATGTCCTGGTGACCAATGCACAACTCTGTGAATGTACTAAGCAGTAAAAAGAAAAGCTCCTAAAGTGGATAAAAATAATCTTTTATGCATGCCTATTTTCTGAATCATACACTTTACAAGGGTGAACTTCAGAGTTTGTGAATCATACCTTAGTAAAACTGCTATTTCTTAGAAAACACAGGCTAGCCTCATAGCACAGCAGTCAGGCGAGGTTCAGAGGAAGTCAGATCTCACGTGGCTGACTAGGGATCCCACATGGTTGACCAGGATTCCAGGCCCAGCCCCAGCAGCCTGAAAAACATGCCAAGCATGCCTGCGCACGTGTGTGTGTGTACGTGTGTGTGTGTGTGCATACATGCTCAGTATCCTGATGGGATGGAGAACTGGAAGAAAAAGGACCGTGGCAATTCAGGCCCTGTTTGGGGTTCTCTCTCACACACACATATATGCATACACACACGCTCTCTGGAATAAAAAAAAAGAAATTAATTTAAAAAGCAAAGCATAATTTGAATTATAAACTCCTAGCAGAGACAAAAACAAAAAACAAAAAACAAAAAACAAAAAACCTAAACCAAACCAACCCAGAAAGCATCTGTGGAACAGACACTCTGCACACGGATTTGCCTTCCTGTGTGTGAGGCCTCTGCCGACATCAGCGCTGGAGATACAGAAGGCCTTATCCCGTCGTGGTGTTCCACACGGCATGGCTTCTGACCAAGAGCTACGTCACAGCAGACGCAGGGCAACTGCGGCCATGCCAGGAGTGTACCGGCCTTGCCCTGCTCCCCACCATCCTGAGGCGGCCGGCTTGATGAAACGGCGGATGGCCTCCTCTGCTATCTTCCTCCCGCAGCCCGCGTTCATGAGTCCAGGAATTAGGGCTAGAAATGGGAGTGGCAGTGCTCACTGCTACCCCTGGTGACCCATCACTGACATCTGTGCTCCCAGTCCCCAGGACCTTGTGCTCTGCTGGCTCAGAGATCTCAGCGCCAAGGCAACAATGCTTCTACCAGGAGACGCGACGATGATTCCGCTGAACTGGAATTCTTTTTCTTTTTTTGGAGAGGTTTTTGCTATAGGGTGCGTGCGCTCGCCAGGCAGACAAAGAGAGACAGAGACAGAAAACGAGAAATCACCTCCCAGGGGGATGGTCACGCTGCAATCCTTTCTCCTCCATTCTCCTCTCGGGATCTTGGGCACGCACGCACACGTGCCCAGCGTGAGTTTTAAGCCACCGGGTCCAGGACGCGAACCGTGGTCGACTACGTGGGAGTCCAGCGACATAGCCATTACGCCAACTGCTGGTTCTGATTCTTTCCTTTCTAATCCCATTATGTAACATACAATATACTAACTTTATAATATTGTATTATTTAAGCATTACCTTTTTATATCATAGTATTTAAGATACAGGATAGCAAGGAAAAAAGTGAACTATCTTAATAAGTCATGATGGTTAATTTTATGCGTCACTTTGGCTAGGCCATGGTTGGAAACAACTCAAGAGTAATAATGAGATCTTTTATTTTTCTCCACCCAACAATAATTTTCTCTCTCAAAATAAATCATTGGGGCTGGCAGGCAGCATGGTGGCTCAAGGCGCTGGACTCCACCTGGCTGACTGTGGTTTGAGTCCCAGACCTGGTGGCTTGCTTTCTCACGCTCCCACGCCTGCCCCAGCCACCATGTGTCTGTCTCTGGTCAAATTACAATAAATGAATGAATAAATTTTTTAAAAAAGTTTTATTGTACTAAAAACAAATAAGTAAATCCTGGGCTGATAAGGAAGCTAAATCCCACAGAGCCAAACACAGTTCAAATCCCAACTTCTGCAGCTTGAAAAAAGCCATGCCAAGCAAATGCGCATGAGTGCCCAAATCCCAACAGGGTGAGAAACGCAGAAGGGGTTATGGCATAACCACACAGCCTCGGGGATGCTTCCTCACTCACCATTTCTTTTTATCTCTGGCGTGTGCGTATGTGCCCTCTGGTAATTAAAAATAATAAGAAGAAGTAAATTCTTTCATTGGAATAACTCTAAGAAAAAACAAATGTCATGAGACAGCAATCTTTTTTTTCCTTTTTAAGACTTTTCCTAGAGGGTGTGTGTACTTGCCAGAGAGACAGAGGGACAGAGAGAGTCAAAGGAGGAGAGCGAGAAAGCACTCCCTTATGGGGCATGGTCACGCCACAATCCCTTCTCCTCCATTTCTCTCTCCTTTCTAGATTTTGGGCATACACGCACACATGCCTGATATGTTTTTCCAGCCAAAGGGTTGACTCAATCCGTGCGGTTAGCCATGTGGGATCTACGTGCCTTAACCACCAGGCCATGAGAAACTCAAAACATAAAACTGGACCCAGTAAGCTTCAACACCGAGGTTTAATCATTTAGATCTATAATAAAAGGAGTTCGTGTTCAGAAAAGAAAAATACAAGCACCTACTAGTCAAGAGTGCTTCAGTACTGAATAGACGAACGCACATGTAAACCACTCGGAACACTGTCTGGCGCACAGGAAGCCCCCAGCTGAGTCAGGGTGATAACTACTAGGGCCTGCTGGGTGTAGAGTTACTCAGAACCACATTGGGCTGTGTGGGATTTGGTTTCCTTATCAGCCCAGGATTTACTTATTTTTTTAGTACAATAAAACTTTTTAAAAATTTATTTATTCATTTATTTTAATTTGACCAGAGAGAGACACATGGTGGCAGGGGGGTGGGAGAGTGAGAAAACAACTACTTCTTAGTTTGGCTTCCTCTCTTTCTACACCTTGGGGATGTTCCTCTGGGCCACAGACCCTCTAAAAATTCCACTTACAGAGACAGCAAGAAATCATGGAAAATGTAGGTGGTCCTGGGTAGAAATTAAAGTTCTACTGTTTATTTGTTTTATGGTTTAATAAAAATTACCTGACCTCTCTTATTCTGTTTCCTTATCTACTAAATGGAGATAACATTTCTTTTTTTCTTTTCTTTTTTTTTGGAGAGGTTTTTGCTAAAAGGGCGCATGCGTTCACCAGACAGAGAAAGGATGGCCACACCACAATCCCTTCTCCTCCATTCTCCTCTCGGGATCTTGGGCACGCATGCACACAAACCCAGTGTGAGTTTAAGCCACTGCGTCCGGGACTCAAACCACGGTCAACTACATGGGAGTCCAGTAATATAGCCATTACGCTAACTGCTGGTCCCAACATTTCTTGCAGTATTGTGCAGATAAATGACTTGATATGAATATAAGGCACCTGGCCCACTGCATTTAAACTGTGGGCACGCGGTAACTGCAGGTCGGTCACTGTAACACTCAGCCTCCTAGTAATAAAGTAGCTCCTTTTTGCCTACCCAATGGCTTGGTTAAAACTGATTTTCAATATTTGTCACTATCATGATGTGTCATCATCTATAAATAATCTTTCTCTGTCCAAGGTCCTAGACCAAGTGACTTACTTCTTTAAATTATCTGGAAGTCTGTAAGCCAGAAAGAATCTGTACCTGTTGACTCTAGGTAAGAAAAAAAGGACCAAAAAGAGTTGACCTAAGATATCTAGGGGCCAGCAGGTGGCAAAGTGGCTATGGTGCTGGAATCCCACGAGGTCAACCGTGGTTTGAGTCCCGGACTCAGTGGCTTGAAACTCATGCTGGGCATGCGTGTGTGTGTGTGTGTGTGTGTGTGTGTGTGTGTGTGTGCGTGTGCGCCCAAGATCCCAAAAGGAGAATAAGGGAAAAGGGATTGCAGCATGGCCATCCCTCCTGTAAACTATGAGATGATTTCTTGCTTTCTGTCTCTCTGGCTAACGCACGTACCCTATAGCAAAAAAAAAAAAAAATGTTGAAAGGAATCCTTGGGGGCTGGCTCTGCGGCACAGTGGTAAAACACTGCTCGGGAGAAGTCAGCTCCCGCCTGGTGACTGCACTGTGCATCCCTCGTCCTCATCTGCACGAGTGCCCCACTATCTAACAGGCTGGAGGGCTGGCAGGAGGCGCTGTGCATGACCAGACCCTGCGCAAGGTGCTCACGTCTCTCTCTTTCTCTCTCTCATGTGTATGCACACGCACACTATCGTGAATAAAGAAAAAACATTCTTTACAATGCTTTACCGAATTCTTAAAGAGAGATGCAAAAAAACCTGCATTCTAAAATGCGTATCTTATATTAATGATTTTAGTAAAAGCAGATCATAAACCCAGATCATAAACACACTTGGAGACTGGGCTAGAGATTTTCAGTCTCTACCTTTTACCCACACCAAACGCCGACACACAGCTCTGACTGCCCAGCCTGGGCAGTAGGGCGAGGGGTCACTCCCTTCTCTCTAGCCAAGCTCCCTTCTCCTCAAACCTCTGGCTGACATCTTTCCTAGGGCACGACTGGATCACTTTGTCGACGAAGTCGGCAGGTGTTCTTAAGGCTTATATGAAATATTTTAAAAGAACATCTCAAAATTCCAAGTGTTACTAAGGGTCAGCAAATCACACATGCACTAAACTGGCTCTCAGCATACTCCCACTACCAGTTCCCCAGCCCCTCACAGTCACTTAAAGTAACCTTACATGGAGTTCGAGCGACTTCAAGCTCAGGTCAGCAAACGCGTCTCCAAGCTGCCTCTGGGTGTGCACCATCTGGAAAAGCTGGGTTGACAATGTCTGAGCCAGTCTTAGAATATTTTCATACTTTTTCTTGTTATCTCTTAATATATCAATCTGAGCTTCAAGTTCAAGGTCCACAGTTCTCGAGCCACGGCCTAGCTTCTCTGAGAGAATTTGTCGAGTACACTGAAAGGGAAAAGATGCACTTTGTTTAAGAAGGAACAAAAGAAAACAGGAAAAATAGCACAACAGTCCACGATACGCACTGTAGAGTACACAGCACACACCAGCTCTGGCTTTGAACACGCTAACCCAGCTGACAGCTGTCGGCTCCCTTCGGTGTTCATCAGGACTCAGCAAACACCGAGCAGCCATGTCTAGTAACTTCGACCAAGGAGAGGCAGCTCAGGGTTTACCGAGCTCGTTCGTACAGTGCCAGGTGAACTCTCATATAATCCTAGCTCACGTTTAATTCACTTGGGTAGATTATTTAAAACAACAAAGATACTCAGCACTGACATTAAAAGAACACTTGACTGTTAATTTGAAAATAACAATACTGAAATTTCCACTCTCTTATTGGTTTCAAGTGCTTTTTTAAAAACATTTTTTTTAAAGAGGGCACAGCAGCTTTCCATAAGGAGACAGGGAGGGAAGAGAAAGATGGCAAGGTGGAGCGCGAAAGAGAAAGCAAGCTCCCCTCATGGGGGATAGTCACCCTGCAGCCCCCTCTCCCCCATCTCTCCCTCCCCTAGAGATTCTGGCATGAGAACACATGCGCCCAACATGCTTCTCTTTTCCTTCTTTCTTTTTTTCCCAGCATGCTTTTCAAGCTGTTGGGTCTGGGACCCAAACTGCAGTCAGCCATGTGGGATCCAGCCACCTCAACCATCATATTAATCACTCAACAATACATTTTAAGGGCAACCATCTAAGGTGTTAATGTACTCATGACTACACAATAAAAAATTCTCAAAAAGTAGTATATAGTACTGGAACTTTTCAAATTTACTCATGTATTTCAAAGTTTTTGTTACAGAATTAGTGTCTGTTGAGAATGCATGAAATAAGAGGTAAGTTTCCTCATTTTTCTTAATCCCACCAAATAGTAGAAAACTACTACTTAGCTTCATGGGTATTCTAAACTCTCCTTTAAACATATATAATCACATATATGATATTTCTAGGGTGGACGTGAGACTGTGCTATCCCAGACATGATGTCCTGAACATTCCTTCGTGATGAACGAAGTATCCGGAGTCTTCCTTTGTCGACAGACATAAATCTGTAACTCGTGTTTCTCTGTTTAAAACTGAACCCGGCCAGCACAGCAGTAATGCACCACCCTGGACGCGGAAGCTGCTCGGGCAGGTCCCAGGCTCACTTCCTGTGGTCTGGCTATACATGCAGGCAGGGCACATGTGCCCATGACCCTGGGGGCTCAGGGAGGGCTGGACTGCAGAATGAAGACCCTGTTGGGGATGGCTTGCTCTCTCTCATGAAAGGAAGAACGACATAAATACAATCGAAACCAATTTCCTGACACATTTTCTATACTCATCAACTAAGAATCTTTATTTATAAACTTTAAATAGAGAAATTCTTAGCTATATAGAAAATGACAGAACACGGGACCAGCAGATGGCCTAACGGTTATGTCACTAGATTGCCAGGGTCCACTGTGGTTTGAGTCCCGGACCAGGTGGACTTAAAACGCACCCCAGGTGTGTTATGTATGTGCCCAAAATCCTGAGAGGAGAATGGAGGAGAAGGGATAGCGGCGTGGCCATCCCCCTAGGGGGTGATTTCTCATTTTCTGTCCCTCTCTCACTCTCTGGCGAGCACATGCACTTTAGAGCAAAAATCTCTCTTTAAAAAAAAAGAGAAAAGAAAATGACAGAACAGGTTAAGAGGCCACCATCACAGAGGGGATAACTCTATTCCTATAGAAAACACCCAAATACTCCTGGGAGAGGAAAGTCCCCTGAGAGGAAAAGCTGTACACGGAGACACTACGATGTCAATGAGAGCATCAGCAAGAAGCAGGGCCCAGGGCCAGCAACATGCTGCAGTGGTTCGAATCCCAGGCCTGGTGAGCCTGAGACCCACCAGGCATGTGTGAGCACCCAGGATCCAACAGCCTAGAGGACCAGAAGGAGGGGACGGGACATGGCGAGACCCGAGGTGTGCTTGTCTCTCTCTCCCCCTGCCATGTGCACATGTCCGCTCTATCGTGAATAAAGGAAAAGTTTTTCTTCTACGTGAAAACTTTAAGTTATGTCTGAAATTGTAACAAGGCCGAGGATCTGTGTTACTTATCCCCACACTTTCTTCCACATCGGCATTGTCCTGTGCACTGTTATCAGAGACATCCACTCCACCCGTACGCCACGGCACGTGGCACCTCCCACAGCAGCCCACTTACAGCCTAAGGAACGCCAAGGGGCCACAATTCACAAAGGAGTCTTAGAGACCAGGCAAAATGAACCAAATGCCTACTGTTGTCCAAACAGCCATTTTCCCTCAGAAGTAACAATTCAATACAAGCAGGCTGAAGGCTCAAAGGTGTAAAGAGAAAATGTCTTTTGTTTCCAGGAAGTTAACGCAGTGGGAAGAATAAGTGATCCTGATCATGAAGAACAGTAAGAGACACGTGCACACTTGACGCGGCTTTCGAGACCGGAGGTACAGAGCTTAATTCCAATACGGAGAATTAGACAGAGACTTCTTTCAACTTCATTTTGCTCGAGTGCACATGTGCTCTCGGGGAGCCGGGGGTGCGTGTGAGAAAGCATCCCCATGGGGGTGACACCACAGTCGCTTCTCCATCTCTCCCTCGGGAGTTTGGGCACACACACACACACACACACACATGCACACACACGCACACACACGCATGCACGCACACGCACGCACACACACGCACACACACGCATGCACGCACACGCACGCACACGGTATGGTTTCCAGCCACAAGGTCTGGGACTCAAACTGTGCAGCGGGCCACCACGCTACCAGCTGGCCCAGTAATTATACACTCTTAAAGAAAATACAAATGATCTGGCGATGAAAACACGACATTGTCTATATGCAGCTTTGTAAAGAAAGCTGTAATAAAGAGACACGTAATTATTGGCCATTATCTGGGTCGCAGAGGATGTTTCTCGCCTGATCTCTGAAGAGCAGATTTAAATAGATTCCGACAAAAACTGAAATTCAAACAAAAAAGTGAGGGGGCCCGGCTGTAGCGGCAGGGTGATCTGGCGATGAAAACACGACATTGTCTATATGCAGCTTTGTAAAGAAAGCTGTAATAAAGAGACACGTAATTATTGGCCATTATCTGGGTCGCAGAGGATGTTTCTCGCCTGATCTCTGAAGAGCAGATTTAAATAGATTCCGACAAAAACTGAAATTCAAACAAAAAAGTGAGGGGGCCCGGCTGTAGCGGCAGGGTGCCAGCATAGTGCTCTGTAATGGTAGAGGCCAAATAAAGACGGGGTTCCCTGCTTGGGTCAACTTGTGAGCCCAGCTGGTGGAGAACCTGGGGAGGCAAAGAGAGCAGTGTGAGACCTCGTGGAAGGAGCTTGTCTTTCTCTCTGACCCCGTCATAAAAGGAGTCAATAAACTTCAAATTAAAAAAAGAAAACTGGGGACCAGCAGTTGGCATAATGGCTATGTCGCTGGACTCCCATGTAGTCGACCACGGTTCACGTCCTGGACCCAGTGGCTTAAACTCATACCGGGCGCATGTGCGTGCGTGCCCAAGATCCCGAGAGGAGAATGGAGAAGGGATTGCGGCGTGACCATCCCCCTTGGGGGGTGATTTCTCGCTTTCTGTCTATCTCTGTCTGTCTGGTGAGCACACACGCCCTATGGCAAAAAAAAAAAAAAAGAAAGAAAACCGATGATTAGTATATAAGCAGGTTTAAAACAGAAGAGAATCTAGGTTCTCTACTCTTCCTCAAAGTTCTTGAAAATGGAGACCACTTAAAATGAGGTGGTAATCCTACTCAGTTTTCCATCTAAATTCAGAATTCATTTTAAAAACAACGGGACAAACGAAGCTGTATCACGGGAGTGGAAGGAAGCAGAAGTGAATGAGCACTCTCTGTAGCCCTCCTGCGTGGGGAGGGAGGGGAAACAAGGGGAACACAGTACGCAGAATGCCACGGGGCACGTCCCGCTGGCTCACGGCTTCCCAAGGCAGTCCACATGTGCCATGAGCATTTCAAGGGCACCAAGCCTTTCTGTTATGCCAAAAATGAATGGAGACATTCAAGTACAAGCAAAAGAATACATTTATGGCGACAAGTGACAGACAGAATGGGTTGTGGAGGTGAAATATAGAAGACAAGGGAACATAGAAGAAAAATGAACAAGGGAAAGGGGTCGACTAATAAGTGAGTTAATATGACAAGAAAAGTAGGCATGAGAGTTTCAAAGGCATTGGTTTAAGACAACGGAGATTAATTTGATAAGAATATGAGCACTAATGGCAAATTCTTAAACATGCTTTAAAAATACGTAATATTTGGTGGGGCCAGCAGGTGGCAAGGTGGTTAAGGGCGCTGGACTCCCATATGACCAACCATGGTTTGAGTCCCGGACCTGATGGCTTGCTTTCTCACTCTCTCTCGCCCTGTCCTTCTCTGGTCAAATTAAAATAAATAAATTAAATTAAATAATTCTTTTAAAAAGGTAATATTTGGGAAAGATGACAAAGAGCTCTGAATGCTGAAACTGAGACTATTCTTTAAAAAAAAAAGAAAATTCTTGGGACCAGCAGTTAGTGTAATGACTACATCGCTGGACTTCCATGTAGTCGACCACGGTTCACGTCCCGGGCCCAGTGGCTTAAACTCACGCTGGGCATGTGCATGCGTGCCCAAAATCCTGAGAGGAGAATGGAAGAGAAGGGACTGCGGCGTGGCCATCCCCCCGGGGGATGATTTCTCACTTTCTATCTCTCTGTCTCTCTCTGTCTTCCTGGCAAGTGCACGCACCCCCTAGCAAAAACCTCTCCGAAAAAAAAAAGAGTAAAATGGATGAAAAGCATAGTTCTCAATTAACCAAACTGAGAATTGGTACCTGAAGCATTATCCAAAAGACAACTAATATCCAGTGTTAGCAATAATTCTGAATGCTGGCCAGAAAGGCCAACACAGAGAGTCGTGCAGACATAAGGCATGAGGTCTTTATGCTCTAATGTCGTCTAGTCAAGAGGGACACGTGAGCCTAGACACACTATGCTACTGGCTCGATAAAGCCAGTAAGCTGTAACTTTCTTTTTCTCTTTTGGCCTCCAGTGATATATCAAAATTAAGTTCTGATGAAAAAAAAAATCATTTAAAAGTAAAGTGATCACTTTAAGGAAAAAGATGCCTCCTTCGCAGAGTACTGTACCATGGGCTGATGTTAAAGATTATTCATGTGCATTAACACAATTTCACCCCACAGGTGTATGCACTCACTGGAGATTGAGAGAGAAGCTGCTGAGAAAGCACCCCCTGTGGGGGATGGTCACGCTACAATTCCTTCTCCTTCACTTCTTGTCTTTAGGGATTTGGGGGATGCCCACACACTCTTGACGTGTTTTTCAAGCTGCCGGGTCTGGGACTTGAACTACACAGTCAGCCATGTGGGATGCAGCCACCTTCACCACCACATCACTAAATGGCCCCATTAACACAAAGTTTAAGAAGGGCTTAATATGCTACGTTAATATAAGATATAAAAACAGAATCTTTTTTTTTTTTTTTTGGAGAGATTTTCACTGTAGGGCGCGTGCGCTCGCCAGACAGACAGAGAGAGACATAGAGACAGAAAGCGAGAAATCACCCCCCAGGGGGGATGGTCACGCCGCAATCCCTTCTCCTCCATTCTCCTCTCGGGATCTTGGGCACGCACGCACACGCGCCCGGCGTGAGTTTTAAGCCACCGGGTCCAGGACACGAACCGCGGTCGACTACGTGGGAGTCCAGCGACATAGCCATTACGCTAACTGCTGGTTCCCAAAACAGAATCTTAATAGTAACTCAACACAGACTATTGTAAAGGAATGAAACAATAAAAGGAACAAAAAATAACACATAAAGGCATAAAGGAACAAGCGGATAAGGAAAAAGGAAACCACCACCAACAACAACATAAGAGAAAAAGGTTCAAATGCACAAGAGCTTAAATTTTTAAAAACGTGTAATTTGTAGTTACTAGGACTAGATTCAGAAAGAAGGCTGGTATATTTTATTGGGTTGTCAGGAAAGTCATGATGTATTTTTTTGTTTGTTTTTCTATGCAAAAACGTACCACGACTTTTCCCACAACCCAACTGGTTCAAAACCGCGTGGACACAGAATGTAATTACAGGCGAGTTTCATGAGGAAATGAACAAAACGTGGCTGAATAAATAAATTTTAGAAATGAATGCAGCTTAGTCTGTAAGAAAGAAAAACAAGGGAAATGCAGAATTCCAAAGAGCAGGCAAATAGGGCCTCATGAATAAAGTCCTAGAAGTGCGAGAGAGCAAAGATCCTTTGGGAAATCTCTGGGTGACTCGGTGTGGCTCCCGGGGTCCGTAGCTAGAAGAGGGGGGGCTGTAGGAGAAGAAGCTGCAGAGGTGGAGAGGAGTCAGACTCACGCCGTCCTAAAACCGACCGGGGATTTTAGGTAAGTGTGAGCCACACGGAGCAGGAGAGAACTCGGCAAGGCTGCAACAGCAATGCGAGAGCGTAACAAAGACGAGGAAATGCCAGGGCAGGAGGGGCGGAAAGGGGGGAGGTCAGAAAGCATTCCAGAGGCAGGGTCCCTGGTGCTTCGTGGCCAGCTGGATGGCTGGACTGGCGAGGAGGAGAGATCTGTGACTATCTGGATGGACTGTGGACCTAAGGACTACCGAGGCAGAGATGACACGCGGGATGGCGGACTCCACGTCCCTGAGAAAAGGGGCACTGGCTGAAGTGCAAGTCCTGAACGAGGGTAACGGTGTATGGGGGCAGCACTCTCTGAAGGTTACCACTGGCATTTCTCTGATCCTACACTGGCACAAGCTAAATAATTTTTGGAGAGTTTCATATAGCATGCTTCAGGGCATTTTTACCATCATAAGAAAGCCTGTAGTTCTTGTAGAGAATTTTGTATCATGTTTTGGAAGTATTAACTGAAAGAATAAATTCATTTCGGTATTACTCCTGAGAAGAGTAATAAATAATAAAATCCAGATGACTTCTGATTTACAAACCATTAGGCAACAACCAATGCACACATACAGAGCCTTACAGTTAATGTTCTACCCTGAGCTGCGAGGGCCTTTTCATCCACTTAACCTTTCCATGAATTCTACTGTCTCGCCCTCCTTGAGATTCAAAGGTACTGAGTGGATTTGGGGCTTGAGCTATTTGTAATGCATCAATTAAGTACAGATTAAATAATCTGCTCTTTTGTTTTATGGAAGGCATAACAAAAATAACCACCAAGTCAACTAATAATGTTAACCATCTTTTGAAAACCAATTCATTTGCAACCCAGTGCTGCCTGCAGAATTAAGGCTTAATTATTATTCTAAGATCAGACAGTTTCAAACTTTGTAGATCTAATATACCTTTCTTGACATTCGGTTGCTATAAGATATAGGGGGAGGGGGAGTGCAAACACATCTATAGGCACCCCATAGATAAATGCATTTCAAGGCAGTATATGCCTTCAATTATTTACATTTTACATTACTTGCCAGTTAATAAGCATTTTAGTAACTTTTTCCTCTTTTTTTTAATTGACTTTTTAAGTTATACTTCTGCAAAGATCGGTCATAAAACAAACATTTCATTTTTAAACTGTATCTAGACGGCATTATTCTCTCCTAGACAGTCATATTATCACCATGTAGTAATCTGAATAACATACAAACTAAAATTCTTAAAGCCATTGGGGTGGAGAAATGTAAAAAGTACAAACCTTATAGGTGTTTAGACTCCATTTCCTAACAAGCTCTAGCTTTTCCATTGCAGGATTTTTTATTTCATCTGCCAGAATAACTGGTCCGCCTTTGGTCTGTGTTCTCTGCCCACCTGCATGATCATAATCAAAGACAAAAACACATCTGGGTAAAGACAGAAGGGAAAAGGGGAAAAAAATTACAAAAAACACTGGTGATGTTCAAACTAAACTACCTACTGAAAAAATAGAGTTTTCCACAAAGTGAAGGAACTGCAACTTCATGGAATCACTGTGGTTAATTTTCTAATCGCTTAACAGTATTTCTGTCCATAAAGCACAAATATCACATATGATTTGTTTTCTTAAAAAAAATAAAAATAAAAATCTGGGACCAGCAGGTAGGGTAGTGGTTAAGGTGCTAGACTCCCACATGGCTGACTGCAGTTCAAGTCTCAGACCTGCGGCTTGAAAATCATGCTGGGCACATGTGGACATGTCCAAACCCCAGGAGAGAATGGAGATGGGACTGCAGAGTGGCCATCCCCCTGGAGGGTGATCTCTCACTTTCTCTTTCACTGTCTCTCTCTGGCAAGCCCATGCGCCCTATGGCAAAAACCTTAAAAAAAAAAAAGAAATTCTGCTGCAAACCAGCCTTCTTTCTTTTCTGAAAATGTGAGCTACACTGTAGCTTTGCAAAGAAAGATCATTTCTATGGCAATCTCGTAACCTAACGATCCTAAAAAAGAACCATCTTTGTCAGTAAACATTAAAAAGGCCTTATCTTACCCACACTGGCCTCTGCTCATTTACTGTGAAGACCAGGACAACAGGATCTTGTTATAATCTTGGAGGATTTGAAAAAATAATTCAGATTACAAACACACACCTACACTCTCTTACCACGTGTATGGAAGTCTGGATTAAAACGAGGCCTACACTGTATCTTCTCCCTTTTCTCCAGAGACTCCCCTTCTTAAAAAAGTCTAGCCATAATTAGTAAAGGCAATGTAAAATCCTGTTCCAATAATTAAGAAATTACTATATAAGCAACTCCACAACTATGCAGTCCCTAACAGTAGAAATATTTTTCATAGCATAAAAGGTTTAGTAAATGTTTGATACAAAAGATTTGGGATAGGAACTTTCTAATAGTTTTTAAAAGACATGAATAGGAAAAAAAAAATATGTATGAATGATTTAAAAAAATCAGGGTCAGCAAAAATTTCTCTCACTTCTTACAGCCAGACCCGCCTTCACTATAGCATTATCAAATCCAAGTGAACATGCACAAAATCAGACATGCTTAAGAATAATCACAAGATTGTCATAGAAATAAAACACAAATGTTAGCATTTCATATAAACAGACATAGAATCTATTTCCCCCATCTTTACGTTTATAGTCCAGCAACACTGAAGTGCAGAGCAGATTCCATGAAAAGACATTCATTTTTCCCCAGTATTCTCCATTGAGTGTAACTGGTAAATTACATAGCATTCTGTTGTATGCTGCAGACGAACTCTAAGCTGAGGCCGAAAATGAGGAGACACCACCTTTTCCACCCGACCTATTCTCAATAATAAACAACCTAGTTGTCAAAGGTTCTTTTTTTGTTAAACTGGAAAAAGAGGGCAGAGCTGCAAAGCTGGAAGTTTAGGATCAAATTTTACGTTTTGAACCTTAAAATGGATTAAATGTCAGGAACAGATACAGCCTAATTACTCTGAAAAGCCAGAAAGATAGGTTACAGCTGGAAATACGAATTCTTTTGGTAAGAGAAAAAGCAGCAGTCACCGTAAAAGCCAGAATACCACACGCCCAAGAATATAAAGCAAGTGATTACGGAACTGAGTGGGTTAGTTCAGCTTCAGCAGTAGCGGGAAGGCTTATCCACTCAGTGCGGTGAATACCTGCGGGGACAGTTAAGTCACTTCCTTGTGGAGCCAGGTGACTAGCGGCGACCCTGCTAGGAGACAGAACGGACGGCAATGGTGGTGCTGGGGAACCTGGAAAGGGGAGACAGCGGCTGTGAACGTCCTTGTCCTCCTCCACACGCTGCACGCCTGAACACGGGTTTACTGACATTTCCTTTATCAAATATTCAAACCACGATCAGAAACTGGAAGGAACGTACTTGCCCTCTTACAGCCAAGGACTAATAATAATAGCTGCTATGTTCTTATATAAACTCTTCATCAAACCATCAAAACCAAACAAAACACTACAATAACTACACAGAGAAACTTAGCAAGATCACATCAAAGCAAGGTTTTATTGGGATCTGCTATTTCCAAAATCAATGAGTAGAAATTAAAGTCTTACTGTTGAATGATTTAAAGTTTAAATAAATATAGTTTGACTTGTTACTCTTATGTTTGAAAGATCTTCAAGGGAGAACTCCAAAGGAATGTAAGAGGTGTTAAAGCATGTTTTAATATCTTACAGAAAGTCCATTACAGCCATCCTAGGAACAGCAGCCAAACACTTCCAATCGTAAATCAAGTACCGTGTAGAATAGATCACTGCTCTTCCTCACCTGGGTGCAGGGAGCCCACGTCAGTTAAATCCCCTGGAAGCCTGTTGTACATGCACACTCTGGGGCCGGCAGGTGGCATGGTAGTTAAGGCACTGGACTCTCACACACTGGCTGTGGTTTGATTTCCGGACCTGATGGTTTGAAAATCTCAATGGCACATGCCCAAAATCCTGAGAGGAGAATGGAGGAAAAGAGACGGCAGCATGGCCATCCCCCTGAGGGGTGACGTCTCACTTTCCCTCTCTCTGTATTTCTCCACCTTCCAGTGAGTGCACAAGCCCTATAACAAAAACTTAAAAAAAAAATAAAATGATAAAAAAGAAATGCACAATCTTAGCCCTGATATAGACCTTCTAAATGAGAGTCTGCGTTTTCACAAAATCCCCGGGTGGCTGGTAAGTTCGTTGGTGTTTAAGAAGTGCGGATGTAGTATCATTCTGACTGATCACGAACCACTCCTGGAGCTTTTAGAACCCTCCTGGGACACTCGGACCTACTGAGCGTCAGTGAGACAGCTGCAGTTGTCTAAAAGCCACTCGGATGATTCTCAAACAAGTTTTGAATGAAATACCAGCTGAGTTTTACATTTTAACTGGGCTCTACCTAGCACATAGTATTGGAAACTCTGTGGCAAAGTATTAAACATTTCTGAGGCTCAGTTTTCACAGAATAAGAAATTCTGACTACCCAACATTGCGACTAATGCCCAGTGTTAAATCAAAGAAAACTATGTAGCTTCAACTGCTCTTTCTCTAAGCTTGTGTATTTCTCCTATGAGGAAGAGAAACACTGAGAGAGAGAGAGAAACAGGCTCCCCCAACAGGGTCTCACACCCTGACCTAACACCAATCTCTGTGGGCCTTGGGAACAGGTACACACATGCACACCTGGCGTGCTCAGGTAGCCTCAGGACACGAACCCAGGACCTTTCCCGTGGGTCATCACCCTGCCACTGCCTGGCCCTTCACTGTTTTCTTACATCCGAAAAGATGGCCCAGTCTAGGTGGCACAGCCTGCAGCATACCGAACCGCAGTAATGGAAGTCATGTAGCCCACGGAGGTTTGGATACTCCCACTGCCCAAAGATGCGAAAACACACGGGCACCTGCAGTGGGTGCCCAAGACCCTGATGAGCTAAAGCTGGGAAAAGAGGAGTGTGGTGTAACGAGACCCTGTTGAGGGCCCCCTCCTCAATAATGTGCATTTTAAAAAAAAGCTAAAAGGTGTACATCTTCAGGAGTGATAATTAAAAAGAAGGTGGAAAATCACTTCCACATTTAGCTGAGAATATTTTAATGCCTATAATGTACTTTTAATTAAACTCTTTCTCAGTTCTCTGGAAAACATAAAATGTATCACATTCATGAATAAATTTCCTAATAGGAAAGAACCGACTTTCACTTTTTTTTAATTGCCCTCATCACAGAGACAGGGAGAGAAAGCACCCCTCCCTATGGATTGTGGTCGGGCCACACTCTTCTGCACGTCATTTCTCCAGCTTGTCAGGACAGTGGGAACACATGCACATGGCCTAACATGCTTTTCGAGCCAGCAGGACCAAGATTTGAATCATGGTCAGCCACGTGGACTCCAACTCTTGATGCGCTATGGGGCTAGCCCGATGTCTACGTTTTTTACTTAGAATTAAGAGTAACTGGTCATATCCCAGATAAACTACATTCCTATGTGGGAACCATTACTAGACTAGATCTAACACGGGGTCGTCAGAAAAGCCACGCGGTATTTTTTATGTTCCTCTATGCAAAAATGTATCGTGACTTTTCCAACAACCTGATAGTATAAAAAAATCTTAATTTGAACTTGATCTCACATTAAAATACAAACACACAACAGACCTAAACAGTGGCACTATCTTTCAGAGTGAGAAATACCTGTGTCTTTAAATCTGCTAAATTGTAAAATTTTAAAATGGAAGGGACAGTGGAAATCAACTAGTCTTAACTTTCACATTAAAGGTAAGAGACATGGCCTTTTGGCCGGAACCGCCATCTTCCAGTAATTAACCAAAATGACGAACACAAAGGGAGAGAGGAGAGGCACCCGAATATATGTTCTCTAGGCCTTTTAGAAAACATGGACTGGTTCCTTTGGCGACATATATGCGAATCTACAAGAGAGGTGATATTGTAGACATTAAGGGAATGGGTACTGTTCAAAAAGGAATGCCCCACAGATGTTACCATGGCAAAACTGGAAGAGTCTACAATGTTACCCAGCATGCTGTTGGCATTGTTGTGAACAAACAAGTTAAGAGCAAGATTCTTGCCAAGAGAATCAATGTGCATATTGAGCATATTAAACAGTCTAAGAGCAGAGATAGCTTCCTAAAACGTGTGACAGAAAATGACTAGAAAAAGAAGGAAGCACCAGCCTGCTTCACCCAGAGAAGCCACTGTGTGAGAGCCAATGGAAAGGAGCCTGAGCTACTGGAACCTATTCCCTATGAATTCATGGCATGATGGGTGTTAAAAATAAACTAATCTGAGAAATATTAAAAAAAAAAAAAAAAAAAAAAGGTAAGAGACATGAAGCCCAAAGGGTTAAAAATAGTTTCTCTGCAGGGACACCGATGTTCTAAATTTGTATCAATGTCTCTCTTATTAAGTTCAATTAAAAAATTTCAGCTAATCTATAACTCAGTTACTTGCTGAGTTGGAAGGCATTTTAATACGTTTCCCAATCCAATCATCTTTTTTTTTTAGAGTTTTTTTCTGCCATAGGGCAGGAGCTTGACAGAGAGAGATACAGAGAGGGAAAGTGAGAAGTCATACCCTGGGGGAATCGCCCCCAGTCTAGGATTCAAACCACAGCTGCCATGTGGGAATCCAGTGCCCTAACCACTACACCACTGCTGGCGCCCCCAGTCATTGTAAACAAGACTGCATCTGTACTACCCCGAAGGTTTCTAGGCACAAGGGTCTCTATTATAATGAAGTATTAAATAAGACACTACCGCTCTATGTCTCGATGACCCCGAACAGAGCTCAGCTGCTATAGCTACCCCAGGTTATTCATCCTGGATAAGAATCCCAAGCACAACATGCGTGTGCATAATCTACGTAACAAACAGTACATACCTTTCCACACTAGAAGGCAAGAACTGTGGTGATGAGGTACGGGACTTTAGCTACTTTGCCTTACCTTCAAAGGTAATCATCACTTTTGCATAGATTCAGTATCCTAACTCTTTAAACCAGAACTTAGTCACCAAGATCAGTCACCAATATCCAATTAAAAAGTAACTCTGGGGCCAATGGGTGGCTGGTGGATGAGGCGGCTGGATCCCACACAGCTGACTGCACTGTTCGAGTCTCAGACCCAGTGGCGTGAGAAACACACTGAGCACGTGTGCACGAGAGCCCACAATCCCAGGGGGAGAATGAAGAAGGGGCTGTGGCGTGGCCGTCTTCCTGGGAGGTGCTTTGTCCCCACCAACCTCCATCTCTTGTTAGTGAGCACACGCGCCGAATTGCAAATTGAAACAAAACCAAACCTTAAAAACCCAGGATCTAGCTAACCGACTAAATTTGAGGACTCAACAACAGAAATCTAGGAGTATGAATATATGAGTATGTGATGAAACCTCCATTAAAACAAAGTCCAGGCACCAAATACACTTCACTCCTAAGAGCTCTGATTTTGTCATGATTTCTGCTATTACTGATTCTGCAATATCTTCATTGTTAGGCAGATTTCTGTATCTGTTGATTTTTTTTTTTGGAGAGGTTTTTGCTATAGGGTGCGTGCGCTCGCCAGAGAGACAGAGAGAGACATAGAGACAGAAAGCGAGAAATCACCCCCCGGGGGGATGGCCACACCGCAATTCCTTCTCCTCCGTTCTCTTCTTGGGATCTTGGGCACACACGCACACGCGCCCGGTGTGAGTTTTAAGCCACCGGGTCCGGGACGCAAACCATGGTCGACTACGTGGGAGTCCAGCAACATAGCCATTACGCTAACTGCTGGTCCCATCTGTTGATGTTTTTAGGCTGAATTTAAGTCTAATTACTTCTAAATTTGCTCTAAATAGATACAGACAGAAAAGTAGATGGTAAACACTCTTCTTGTGAAAACTATTCAAGTATAACATATATTATTATTCAATCATTTTTTCCAGAGAGCTAACACAGACTTAATTCCTTTAACACTTTTTCATAAGGTCTATTTCCTAAATTTTATTAATTATGCTGCTCCTTCTTGTGCTCATTCCAATACAAAGAGATATATATATCTTAAAGCAAGGGCACTTGGGGCTGGCAGGTGGTGTGGTGGTTAAGAGTGCTAGACTCCCACATGGGCGACAGTGGTTTGAGTCCTGAACCAGATGGCTTGCTTGCTCGCTCGCTCTCTCTCTCTCTCTCTCTCTCTGTTCCTCTCTAGTCAAATTAAAATAAGTTAAGTAAAATACTAAAAAAAAAAAAAAGAGGGGAACTTAAAACAACTACAGCTTTCTAATAAATGCTAAAACTTAAGTATGGGAAAATGATTATTTTTTAAATACATGAATCAACAATGCCGTTTAAATTTTTTCAAATGTTACAAGTTCAGTTCAGAGAGGCATAAATTACTGCCATTATTATGAAGGGTATTTTTTACCCCAACTTGAAGATCAGGATATATCTACAAGCAAGTGAAACTGACGGGCATTTTAATGCTCAAGGCATAACAGTTTACACTGGTAAGTTGATTTCAAAGATTTTTACAACACTGTTTCACTTAAAGAGAAGATGAAATCAAACGTCAATTAAATAATTTCACTGAAAATAAAATATCTTAATAGTAAAATTAGTTTTTATTTTCTATTGTCATTTATGTTTTGAAATTGGCAATTTCTCCAAAAATGGTGCCAAATAATGCAAAGTAATTCTTGTATTTTTAAGCATTCATGATTTTTTTAAAAAAAGTATTATTTATTTCCATCTGTTATTATTATTATTATTTCATTTGATCAGACAGAGGCAGAGAGAGAGAGAGAAAGGGAAAGCACAAAAGCAAGCCACCAGGTCCAGGACAAGAGCCATGGTCAGTCTTGTGGGAATCCAGCGCCTTTAACCACCACGCCACTTGCCGGCCCCAAGCATTCATGATTTTAGGCACACATTCAAACCTTTCAAAGTCAGCATTCCCCAGAAAAGAATGCCACAATGCTTCAGAATGACTATTACAATACCGGCATACTTGCATTGTTTTTCTAAACATGAGAATGAAAAGGGGGAAAATGATGTCACTAGATAGAACATCCACTTCACAGTCTAGATCAGAGGATATTCTTCTGGAGTATCTTAAATGCTTACTAAAAGCAAGCAGAGCCAGCAGGTAGCATGGTGGTTAAGGAGCCAGGACCCACATGGCTGACGCACGGTCGAGTCCCAGACCCAGAAGCTTGAAGGCATGCCAGGAGCATGTGTGTGCATGCTGCAAGTCCCTAAACAAGAAACAGAGAAGGGACTGCAGGGTGCCCATCCTGGGGGATGGAGAGGGATGCTTTTTCACTCCCCGCCCCCCCTGCAAGCACATATGCCTTGTGGCAAATAAAAATAAAATTAAAATAAAAAGCAGTCAAGTGTTTTCCTTCTTTTCAAAAACAGACATGAGTATGGGGTATGTGCAGAAAAGAGGTCACGCAGCAGCTCTAACTGCCCACCCTTAAAAAGTTCTGCATTCCTGGCTGGCCCTCAGCTGGTGTGCAGAACTGAATTCTGGGGGACTCCCTTCAGTCCCAGAGTAAGAAAGAGTGGCGGGCTCACGGAGTGACGTGGCTTACCCCCGCGGTGTGCCTTATGCTGAGCACACGCTTTCTTCCTGGACGGCTAGAAGCCGGGGTTTGTGCTGGGCAAAGGAAGCCTGTACGGGCAGCCCTCCCCCAGCACGGGGTCTCTAAGCGCGCCTCCCTGGTTACTAACATGTCACAGACCCACTGTGGGGAGGCAAGCCGCTCCTGTGTGACTGATGGGGAGGTCCTGGAAGATCATGCCAAGTTTCCCCCACACTTCACTCCTACACCATGTGCTTTTCTGACTATGCCTGGTTTTCTAATAAACACTTAAAACTTAAGTATTGGAAAATGATTTTTTAAAATACATAGATCAACAATGCAGTTTAGATTTTTTAAACTGTAAAATAAAGAGAACCCATGAGTGTGCCTATCTATACACTGGTCTTGTGAGTTCTCCTAGTGAGTTCCTGAACCAAAGGGTGGTCCTGGAGACCATTTATATATTCTAAGAAAAATAAAAATTAATTTTCCTATTTGCTTTCAAATAGAAAAAAGGTACTTATATAAACCAACTTTTAAAGTCTTTTTGATTCCTCTCAATATTGACTTATAAATTTGGGGGAAATAAGGTAAAATAACTTACATTTACATTTTTGATATAATTTTTTAGTTATTTAGTTATTTATTTTTTGCTATAGGGTGCATATGCTTGCCAGAGAGAGGGGAAAGTGAGAAAGCACCACCCCCTAGGATGACCATTCTCCTCTGGGATTTTGGGTACACATGCGCATGTGCCCAGCATGTTTTTTAAGCTACCGGGTCTAGGATTTGAAGCCGTACAGTTGGTCACATGGGATTCGCCTGTCCTAACCACCACACCGCCATCTGGCCTAATTTTCAAGTTTTTATTTTGGTATTTTAAAACCAATTCTTATATAATAATTAGTGAAATTATGCACATTAATCTATCTACATAAAGAAGTCTACTGAAACAAGTTTAAATTACTTACATTGAAGAGAAAAGGGACTGTGTTTATAAGTGGTGTCTGACCAGAGTTAAAGGACTCAGCTCCCATGAGCTACGGACAGGGCAGCCCAGGGTGGATGTCCCGTCCTCCATCCCAGCCACCTTCATACATGTACGCACGGGTCCTTACCTTGAAATGCTCCTGCTTCAGTAACCCCCTCTTTGGTACCGTCAAAGCCATGGGATGTAATTTGAGTTTCTGAGAGACCAAGTCCAGATGGTAATGAACGCTTCAAATCCTTAGCAACATTTAAAGTAAAAACAAACAAACAAACAAACAAAAAACACTTTGTAAAAATCTCATATCATGTAACAATTCAGAATAATGATGCCCTTTTATTCACATCTTACCCTGTTTTTCCCTGTACTGCACAGAATCCCCTCATGTTCTCATGGCATTCTGTAACGACGCACAACCAGTGGCGAGCACAGCCAGATTTGCTACTAAGCAGCACGGCACACTCTTTTCTGGAACTGACCAGCAGGCAGATTTTAAAATTCAATTAAAAATTTTAACCTATTGGGACCAGCAGTTAGCGTAATGGCTATGTCGCTGGACTCCCACATGGTAGACCACGGTTCGCGTCCCGTACCCAGTGGCTTAAAACTCACGCCGGGTGCGTGTGCATGCGTGCCCAAGATCCCGAGAGGAGAATGGAGGAGAAGGGATTGCAGAGTGGTCATCCCCCCTAGGGGTGATTTCTCACTTTCTGTCTGTCTGTCTCTGTCTGTCTGGGGAGCTCACGCGCCCTATAGCAAAAACCTCTCCAAAAAAAAATTTTTTTTAACCTACTGATAGGTCAGAAAAATAATTTAAAGAAAGAAAATTAAGATCACTAAAATGCCATATCTAATATGCAAAATGTGATTGATACTTAATATAACCATGATGAGCCTGGCTAACGGTCAGTATAAACACATCTTTCACTAACATGAATGTTAACTTCCCTTCAACTTCAAGGTCAGCTAAGTAAATTGGGCTTCTCTGACTTTAATCAGAGTGAAGTAAAGGAAATTTTCTTTTATTTAGAGTTATAGGAAATACTGTTATATACAGTCAGCCTAACTGTATATTAGCTTATAATTGAACCTTCACTATAATAAAAACGAAATTCAACATGAGTCTTATAGCTTAAAAGACAGAAAAAAAGGGGTCCAGCAGTCAGTGCAGAGGTCAAAGCGCTAGATCCCATAGGGCCAACTGCATGCTGCATGGTTTAAACCCCAGACCAAGCGACCTGAAAAATCACACCAGGGGCATGTGCATGCACGCCCCAAATCCTGAGGAGAATGGAGGAGAGAGAGCAGCACAGCCATCCCCCGGGGAGTGACTGGGAACCAGATCCCACACAGATGACGAAGTTCAAGTCCTGGCCCTGTGGTTTGAAAAACACTGTGTGTGTGCATGTGTTTGTGTGTGCATGTGTTTGTGTGTGTAACTGTCGGTGTGTATGTGTGTGTGTGTGTCCCCCAAATAAGGAGAAGGGATTGTGGTGTGACCATACCTCACTGGGGGATGCTTTCTTTCTCTGGCAATCTCTCGAAAAACACTTGGGGGGGGCTTAGTAATTATTATGCAAATATACCAATTAAAACTAAAATCACCAAGAACCAAAGCTGAGGCTACAATTTGCTGGCTCTACGAGATGCAACTATATTAACAACACAGCCTTAAAACTTGCCAAATGGGCCAGCCAGCTGCGTGGTGGCGAAGGCGGCTAGACCTCCACGGCTGACTGTGTAGTTTGAGTCCTGGACCTGGTGGGTTGAAAAGCAGACCGGGTGCCTGTGCATGCACGTCCAAAATCTCAAAAGGAGAAGAAATGGTGATGGGATTGTGAGGTGACCGTGCCCTGTGCGAGTGCTTTTCTCACTCCCTGGCCCTACCACATGCACACTTGCCCTCTGATACATCAACAAACAAACAAGCAAACAAAAAACTGGCCTACTCACATGATGAGAGATTCAAGCAAATCAGGCTGATGTGAAGCAGTAAGATCACTTTCTATTTATGGTAATTAAACTTCCATGAGAATTTAAGGGTTATGACAAGTTATCGGTAAATATTGCTAAGGATTAAACTTTTATCAATTTATCATAATTTGCATCATAACTAGTCATACATATTCATACTAATCCATCACACTTCTCTTAATGCAATGGTGTACTACAGAGCCGGGATAGTTCTCCAAAGCAGGTCAAGACAGACATATCTTAGGACCAGCAGTTAGCGTTAATGGCTATGTCGCTGGAATCCCACGTAGTTGACCGCAGTTTGAGTCCCGGACCTGGTGGCTTAAACTCACGCCGGGCACGTGTGCGTGCGTGCCCAAGATACCAAGAGGAGAATGGAGGAGAAGGGATTGTGGCGTGACCATCCTCCCTGGGGGGTGATTTCTCGCTTTCTGTCTCTATGTTTCTCTCTGTCTGGCGAGCGCACGCGCCCTACAGTGAAAATCTCTCCCCCAAAAAAAAAGAAAAAGAAAAAGACAGACATATCTTAATTAGCAGGTGAAGCAACACGTTAATCGAACAGAGAAGCGTGTAACGACTTACAATTTACTTAGGAATTCTGAACCAAACAGAAGAAAAGCCTTCCAGAAAGAGCGGAGCCTGAGCGGCGACAATGTCCAACGTGGAAGATACGGAGCAGGAGAGATGCCACCGGGAGAGGAGGGACGCGTTCTCAACCCAGTGTGGAAGACACGGAGCAGGAGAGATGCCACGGGGAGAGGAAGGACGCGTTCTCAACCGAACGGGAAACCTGGGTGAGGGCAAGCGGCCTGCGCAGTCATCGCTGTGTCACTGGCAGGATGTGGAGGCCAGCATGAGGCTCCCAAGGTCAGCGCGGCTCTGAGAGAGCAAACCAACTAGGAGGGGCCAGATAACAAAACGCTAAGGTAGGGAGTTCGGCCTTGAATAAATTAGAAAGGTGAACGTTTGAAATAGCAGATTTGCTGGATTTGGTTAAAGGACTGCTTTAAGAATATTATTTGGGGGAACCAGCAGTTGGCGTAATGGCTATGTCGCTGGACTCCCACATAGTCAACCGCGGTTCGCGTCCCGGACCTGGTGGCTTAAAACTCACGCCAGGCGCGTGTGCGTGCATGCCCAAGATCCCGAGAGGAGAATGGAGGAGAAGGGACTGCGGCGTGACCATCCCCCACAGGGGGTCATTTCTGGCTTTCTGTCTCTATGTCTCTCTCTGTCTGTCTGGCGAGCGTACACACCCTATAGTGAAGATCTCTCCAAAAAAAAAAAAAAAAGAATATTATTTGGCAGACACATAAGAACAGCTTGGAAGAATTAAAAATTAAAGTCAAGGGGCTGGCAGGTGACAGGGTGGTTAAGGTGCTGGACGCCCACGTGGCCAACCGTGGTTGTTTGCTTTCTCTCCCTCCCTTCCTCCCTTTCTCTTTCTGTCTGTCTCTGGTCCAACTGAAGAAGAATAACAATAAAATTTAAATGAACAATTCTTTAAAAAAAAAAAAAAAGCTAAAGGCAAGATCAATCAGAAGAAACCACCATACATGAGGCTTCAAAAAGTTCATGGAAAAATGGAATTCTTGTATGAATTTGCTTTGGTTCAAAGAATATTTTATAAGCCATGAGTAGTTTTTCCCTAATATGCATTTTCCATCAACTTCTTGCAGATCCTGTGTATCTCAGGCCTCAATAAGAGCAGACCATGAGCAACAATGGGGCCAAAAGAATAGAAAGGATAAAATTAAGGAATAATTAAGACTAATTAAAACACAAACTTTAAATAGTAATTCTGGGTCCAGGCTTGGCTCTGTGGCCCAGCAGCAGTGCACCGCTCAAGAGAAAGCAGATCCCACCAGACATGGTTCAGATTCTTGGCCCAGTCAGCCTGAAACATGCCAGGCACATGTACAAGTGCCCAAGAACTGAGGGATGGAGGATGGCAGGAAGTGGACTATGGCATGACCAGACCCCACAGAGGATGCTCACCTCTCTCATTCTCCCTCTCTCTCACACACACACACTTGCATGCATATACACTCTTTATCATGAATAAAGAAAAAATTATAAACACTCAAGGTGTAACTGAGTGTTAAGTATGATAAAGCGGAATAGCTAAGATGATATATACAACAGAAATAAGAGACCTCATATAAGTTGGTTTTCAAAAATCATCAACCAGGAAACAAAGGAGTTATTTAAATCACTAGTCAATAAGATATAATCAAATTAATTAAGACCAGGTCTCACTGTTGCAATCCTCCTGCCTTAACCTCTAAGCTGGGACTGTCGGTTCCATCCACTGCGTGAGTTCTTTCCAGGCCAGCCTTGAGCTCGTGGTCCTCCTGCCTCAGCCTCCCTGAGCTGCTGTGATCACAGATGCAAACCACCACGCCCGCCCTTGCAGGCTGGGCCAGGAATTAAATCGGGCCTCCCTTGAGGTCCTAGCCTGCAATCACCATGTCTGAGCAATGGATACCACCATGCCTGGGTCAAGATAATTTTATTTTAAATAATCACATCTACCGTTACTAAAGTAAAAATAGGGCAGGGTAAGTGACATTTATCTTGTATAATATAATTAGAACACACATTATTTCAGATGTTTGCTGAGGAAGTTTGTATCTGAATCCTATGGTCTTTTTAAAAAAAAAATAAAAAATAGAAAGGATAAATTAAAAAAATAAAAGACCATAGGGTTTTTTTTTAAAGACCATAGGATTTAAAAAAAGAGAGAGAGAGAGAGAGAGAGAGAGGTTATAGGCACCAGACTCCTCCATTCTCCTCTCAGGATTTGGGGCACGCGCCCCAAGCACCTGGCATGAATTTCACTGGTTCCGGAGCTCAAACGTGGTCAACCACGCGGGAGTCCAGGGACGTCTGCGGGTCCCAGGATGCCCTGGTCTTCTGACCTTGAAGTGTACCCAGGATGTTTCCTTGACCGACATCCCTGCTCCATGCATCAGTGCTCCTTGGTTAACTCATTTTGCCCAAGTTTTTACTATTACGAATGTGGAACTTGTCAGCTAACACAAAGTGGTAGAAATACAAAAAGAACGACTAGGTTTGTTATCTCTATCCTCTAGGGAAAAGTATTGGGGCGTCAAAAAAGTCCTGACACATTTTGGCATAGAAAAGTACATCATGACTTTTCTAACGGCCCAATAATATGCTTGAGGACTGAAATCAAACACTTCCCGAAGGCAGACGGGATCTTCTAGGTGACAAAGCACGGACTCATGCTTTTCTCTACTCT